CTCCTTATGCCAGTGGGGTGGACTGCTGGGCACCTGTGGTACCAAGTTCCAAAGGGGCCATAGCCTCTCTGCTGCTCCCAGGGTGAGTTTCACTCTCAGGTGCCCCAGGTACTGGCCACCCTGGGTTCTTCTGTCACTCAGCTTGACCTAGAAATGAGAACGGGCACCATCATGACTGCCCCTTGGGGTGGGTGTCTCTCCAGCCGCCTGTGGAATTTAGGGTGGCATCAACCTCAGGCCCGTGCCATGCTCTGAACCCTGGAAATTCTCTTGTTTGTCACTCAACCCTCACAAAAGAGGTGGTGAGCACCTGTGAGACCCCCAGGCAGCTGACCTAGACACTCCCCATGCCCCAGATGCCTGGCTCTGATAACTAAGAGCCAGGCCTGAAGGCCCACAGCAGGCCCCCGGCACAGGAGACCCCGGCCCTCATATGCTCCATGAACTCACTAGGGGTTCCCCGGGCTCAGGCCAGTTTTTGTGTCTGGGAAGCAGGTGGCAGCCTGGTCATGGCCTTCTCTGGACTACTCTCTCTGGACAGGAGAGGGCAGAGTGCTTCTCTAGGGCAGCCATGGCCTGGGCCTGCACCTTCCACCTGAAGCTCACTGTGGGTTCTGTACAGATCCCAAGGTACCTGGTCAGGGAAAGGAGGGCCGTGTCTCCCCTCAGATGGGTACACAGGCTGGCAGGGACAGAGGGAAGGAGGCTGGGGCTCAGGGCACAGAAGACCGCCAGGTGCTGTGCCCCCGGGCTTGACCTTGCTGGAGATGCGGGCAGACAGGCTCCGCTGGACTCCACTGACGCTCCTGCCCTCTTACCCTTTGCCATTAGTCACCATCAGATTCATGCTTCTGATAAGGGACCAGGCACCACCTGAACGCTCTTCCCACCCTGCAGATGGCGTTGTCCTTGGCAAGTGGAAGGGCTGTCGGCATTAGCTTGTGCTGGCCTCAGCTGTCCTTGACCCTTGGCCCAGAGCACAGGAGAGTACTCTCCCCCAAGAGTGTGGGAAAAGCAGGAAGGGTCAAAAGGCCCAAGGCAAGCCCCAGTGCTTCTAGGGGCCTTGTCAGGTCACTCCATGCCTCGGTTTCTGCATTTATGAAATGGGAGATAGACTACAGGGAGCACTCCGACCTGAGAGGCAGGCGCCAACCCCGCTGGCTGCTCCGGGAGTGATATGCTCACTTCGAGTCTTAGGGGATGAGAGGCTGTGGTGGCTTAACTGAGAGGTCACCCCCACGCTCACCGTGAGACAGTACAAGCCTTTTAAGAGGTGGAATGGTTGGATTGTGAGAGTTGGGATCCCCTGAAGTGGACTGACTGGCTGGTGACTGCAGGCAGGTGGGGCTTGACTGCAGCAGGCAGGCCACTGGGGTGCCCTGGGGGCTTTGTCCTCGAGAGTGGAGCGCTCTCTGCCTCCTGATGGCCATGTCCTGAGCTGCCTTCCTTTGCCATGTCCTTCACCATGATGTTTGGCCTCCCTTTGGGCCCAGAGCAGTGGAGTCCTCTGACCATGAACTGGACCTCCAAACCCATGAGCCAAAATAAACTTTGCCTCTTCTAAGACGATCTCTCGGGTATTTTGGTCACAGTGACAAAAAGCTAAAGCAGTAGGGAAGCACTTTCAGGAAGATCGGACAGAGGGTCAGGGAGGGAGGGCGGCCTCTGGCAGAGCTGGGGCTTCCTGAGCAGTATTCTGGGAGCAGACCCAAAGTGATCCGGCCTCAGAGTCAGGTGCCAGCAGAGGGAGGGCTTGGGGGACCGGTTCCTGTGGCCCTGTGAGCAGCAGGGCCTCCTCCCGGGTACTTCCAGCCCTGCCTTGGGCCCAGGGAGTCCCAGACTGTCCCTGGCCTGAGTCTGAGAGAGGCGCAGCTTAGGGCCCAGGAGCAGGGGACAAAGACCAGCACCCCGTCCACAGAGGGAAGGTGGAAGGACCTCAAGGATAGAGGAAATGCCACAATTAACCCTGCTTTGAGTCTGGGAGCTTCGACCATGAGTTCCGTTGCTCACAGTGGCCTCCCAGGCTGACAGAGGCCTCCGGGCTCCTGGGAGGCACCGCAGCCCGCCTCCAGGCCACATACCCTCCATTTCTCCAGGAGAAACCGCACAGGCCTGGAGGCCAGCGGCGTGGCAGGCCAAGCGCAAGGCCACCTCCTGCATGTGGACACCGCGAGTCAGAAGCGAAGCCCGGCAGTCGGCAGTTAGCAGCCTGGACATCCGGAGGCGTGGAAGCTAAGACACAGGAGAGGATGGGGCAGAGGCCGAGAGGGAATGCGTGGGTTGGGGCGCTGGGCCTGGCCAGGAGGTGGGCAGACAGAGCTGGGGGTCCGGAAGGGCGCCGGGTCTCTTTAGCGTCAAGGCTGCGGGCCGGGTCGGGCAGGGGCTTCTCGCACCACTTGTTTTTGTGGAGGTTGCAGAATTGAGAAGGGAAAAACGGAGGCCACTGGACAGAGAACATGCTCGCCAGACATCTCCCGAGAGGAGGCGCCTGAGCTCTATCAGGACAGATCACCTCGAAACCCGGTGATTGAAATTTTAAGGAACCCATCCTGCTCCTGGCAACCTAATTAGAAGGCCTAGGTCCCCTGCCCCGCAGACGTATGCACGCGTGGGACACACAGGAGGGACCCTAGGCTGCAGATGGCGGCACCAGCGCGGGCAGGCGGCCTCGCCTCCTGTAGCCAGTTTTCCCATCTGTGGAGTCCCAAGCCAGCGAGGTGGAGAGCGCCAGAGAGAACCCTGGTCTTAAGTGAGGACCCAGGACCCGGGACGGACAAAGAAGCCCGCGGCACGGCCAGGCCAGCTCCTCCGGTGTCCTTCCAGATCTCCCCCCACGTTCCCTAGTAACCAGGCTCTCCTTTTGCATTCAAAGCCCACCTGTAGTCCTAAGGAATCAGGAGCCTGAGGCAAGAGGATTGCAAGTTGGAAACCAGCCTCAGCGACTTAGGGAGACCCTCAGCAATTCAGCTACACCCTGTCTCAAAAAATAAAAAGGGCTGGGGATGAAGCTCAGTGGTAAAGCACCCTGGCTTCAATCCTCAGTACTGCAAAATTAATGATGATAATAAAATAAATAAAATAAGAACCCAGGGCTGGGGATATGGCTCAAGTGGTAGCGCGCTCGCCTGGCATGCGTGTGGCCCGGGTTCGATCCTCAGCACCACATACAAACAAAGATGTTGTGTCCGCCGAAAACTAAGAAATAAATATTAAAAAAAAAGAAAGAAAGAACCCATATTAAGGTCAATTTCAGGTGCTGCTAGGAGTTTATGAGTCAATGTTGCTTTAAAATCTTGAGGCTGAGGCAAGAGGATCCCAACTTTGAGGCCAGCCTCAACAACTAGCAAGGCCCTCAAAAAAAAAAAAAAAAAGCTGGGAATGTACCTTAGAGGAAAAGTGCCTCTGGGTTCAATCCCCAGAACAACAGACAGATTCTGGAGGCTGGGCTGCAGCTCAGCGGTAAAGCACTTGCCTAGCATGTGCCAGGCCCTGGATTCAGTCCCCCGCACTGAAAAACAACACCAAACCTGCATTTTCTTGCAGTTTGTGTCATACATTTCTTAACAAGGAGAAAAATGCTTCAATTGTCTCATGATTTTAAGAGGCTATCGCCATCTGTCCCCGCTGGCGACCCAATGCTGGGTTCACAAATCTGACTATTCCAATAACTCAAGAAAACGACAAAGAAAGCATGAAACCACACAGAAATACTTCTTTCAATATTCTGTAGACGGCTCTGCGAACTTCAGGCTCCTTGGAAAGAGAGAGAGCCACAGGAATTCTTTATTCTTATATGGGGAACACACAAGAGGAGGTTCCATGGAACATTCTATCCCCAAAAGGGCAAAGGGTAGGATTACAAAGGAACAGGTGAGTGTGGCTCACCCCCGGGGGTGGGTGTCCTACTCCTGGAGCCTCGCCTTGCTATGGACCTGGGACAACGCCCAAGTCATAAAATGTAGTGGTTGGTCAGAGCCCTGTGCTTCAGGACTGGAAGGCGTGGTCATTCAGAGTGGTTCCCTGCCACATCTTTCCAGCGACGTGGCTAACTTGAGCAAGCCCAGTGACGTGAATTATCAAGCTTTTAAAACCAACTTGAGCCATCAACACAAACATTCACTCAAGTGTGACTTCACTAGACCCTGATGCTCGTAAAGCTGAATTTTGAGGATCTTCAAATCCGCCCATCCCCAGACAATGTGGACAAACCTGGGCAGACATTCCACTGTATGATGACAGGACACAAGTGTGGACATAGGACTTGCCAAAGGCTGTCCAGCACGCTCCTGCCAGGCTTCTAACTGGATGGGAAGCTGGGTCCTTGCAACTGCCCAGGGCTCCTCCAGGCACAGAAGGCCCCTCTCGTGTTCTAGTTACGAGGTCTTTCCAGAGTCAGTGGATACCTGACCCCCGTGTATCCCTTATCCCCTCCAGGAAGGGAAGTGGATGAATTGGGCAGGTGCCCTGCCGGTGGCTTTAGGAATCCAAGAGAGAAGCAGATGGCCCACTGGCTACAGGGGACAGCATCTGAAGGGACTTCACACCTCCCAGTAGCCCCGCCCCTGGTGGCCTCAGAGACAAGGGTTCCCTGAAAGGAGAAGCGGTGTGCAGAGCCCTTTCTGGACAGCAGAGAGGCCTAGCCGAGGAAGAGCCTGCTGAGGCTGGAGGGAGGGAACCCGGAATCAGAGCCCGCGGTATGCAGAGTTGAAGGGCAGTGAATGCCTGGCAGTGGAGGGTGGGGGCTGCTGCTCAGGTCAGTTGGTTTTGGGGGAAAAAAAAGTCCCAGGGCCTGAACTGAACCCTGCCTGTCTCTATCTACCTCTACCTCTCCTCCACGGCTGGGCGCAGCTGTCGCCTCTACACAGGAGAGAGCCCGGGAACGGCAGAGTCCAGGTGTTGCCCTAGCAACGAGGCGGGATGGGGGAGGGCGGCTAAATTCTGTCTCCATAGAGATTGCTGGCTGAATATCAACGGTACCAATGTTGGACACACCCGACACGAACAACCAAGGACCAGAGGGAACCCACGAGTACAGGTTGGCACTGCTGCTCCGACTCCGATTCTGCCTCCCCAGACTTCGTGACCTTAGGAGGCATTCTATCCATGGACCTGAGGCCTAGATTTTTCCGGGTTGGGGAAAGGAAGAAACTGAACTGTGGAAGCGAGCACTGCCCTCCTGAGCCCCTGTGCCCCAGGTCCTAACCCATGGCGCCCAAGAAGAAGCGCGTGACGAGCTTAGGGCGCCGGCTGGGTGAAGGTGCAGAGCCGCAGGGGTCGGAACGCGCGCAGTACCTACAGCGCGAGTACACGTTGCTCTCGGAGCAGCTGGACGCCTGCGAGGGGCGCGTGGACCAGGTGCTCCAGGAAAACATCTTCCTGGACCACGAGGCAGGGCGCTTGCGCGAAGAGAATCGGTTTTACGCCAGTTTTGTAAACACACGCGCGCAGCGCTGTGCCAACGCCGTCCTGCGGCTAGACGAGCAGAACCGCGTGGATCTGGGGCAGATCCATTGGGAGCGGTCAGAACTAGCGTCGCTGTACCAGGGGCGCGAGGATGGGGTGCGTGCGCAGCTGCTGGAGATGCAGGCGCGTGCAGCGCAGATGGCGCAGCAGGTGCAGGAGCTGCAGCCTTACAAGGCCAGTACGCGTGCGGTAGCGGACCGGCGGTGGGGGCGGGGGCTGCTGGTCTGGGTGGGCGCGCGTCGAGCTCCTGCGCTGACCTGCGCCCCTGCCACAGGAGCTGCAGCTGGAGCAGCTGGCAAGGATCCGGACGCTGGAGCGCGAGCTGCTGCACATGCGCGTGGAGCACACGCAGCTGCTCCACCGCGTGAAGCGGCGCTTTCTGGAGGAAAAGGCAGCCTGCGAGCGTGAGGCTCGCCAGCGTGTGCAGTCTCTGGGCCGGCGCGCGGAGCGGGAGGCGACGCGCGCGCTCATCACACATACGCAGGCCATCAAAGCGGACAATGGGCGCCTGAGGCAGGAGCTGTTGCGGCTTCTCGGCAGGGCCCAGCTGCTGCACAATATGCGGCACCAGCTGCTTCAGCAGCGTGAGCAGCTGCGTCGTGAGCACGAGGATACGCGGGACCTGGCGCGCGTGCACGGCTGGCTGCGCAGGGGCCCCGACGGCCCGCCGCTCTGGCAGCCGCCGGTCTCTTCCCAAACCACCTCGCGCCCAGAATCAAACGCCGTCACCGCGAGGGGCCGGTCGCGCGGAGCCTCCCCAGCCACATCGGTGGACTCGTCACGCGTAGCCTCCCAGCCCCCGTCCATGTCCTGTGCGCTTTCTCGCGTATCATCGTTGGTCCCTTCGCTGGCCACTTCGAAGGCAGGGTTAGGGGCCTTTTCCCTAACAGTGACGCGCCGGGACTCCCGGGTTCCGTCCTTGACCCCGTCGCGCCCGGGCTCCCGGGTCTCGTCCTTGGTCCCGTCGCGTCCCAGTTCCCGGGTCGCATCTCTGACCCTGTCGTCAGCGAGCTCCAGGACCTTGTCGCTGGCGAGGTCACATGAGGGGTCTCGGATCTCTACGCACTCCTCCTTGCCTGCGGCCTCACAGGACACTCTAACCTCAGCAAAGTTCAACCGCAAGCTTCCCTCCAGTCGGTTCCGGGACCCCCCTCCTCCCACCTCACAGTCGGAGAATGCGGATGCCGACGCGGCATCCGCAGGCGCCGGGCGAGACTGAACCCACCTCGGGGAAGGACATGGAGGCCACAGGGAGGACGCGCACTTGCTGCGTGCAGGTATTAATAAACGTGTGACCACACCCCCGCATCTGCCTGGTCCACTGCTCTAGCGTTTCCAGCGGCCACAGGAGCCCCTCATGAGTGTCTCTGATTTCCAAGCTACAAGGGAGCTTGATGCCTTCTCCCCACTGTGAGTCCATGGGAAATCAGTGTCCCTCCACTGACAGCGGACCTCCGCCATAACCCTCAAGGGTAGAGGACATCAATGACCAGGTGCTCAGGGGAAGCTGAGTAGTGGTGACCTGACTGTAGTGGGAGAGCCTGGGAAAGAGAAAGGGCTTCCTTCTCGTCCTCCCGGGGTTTGGCGACTAACCTATTGAGAGTTTTTCGTTGTTTTTTTTTTTTTTTTTCCGATAAAATTTCCAATTTAGAAAAAATTGCAATACTACCAGGAACTCCCACATGCCACGCATTCAGACACAGCCGCAGGCATTTCGCGGGGTTTCTCTCTCTGCGCGCGGTTCTTTCTGAGCCATCTGGGATTAGGTTGGGGACATCGTGCTCCTTGACCCCTAAATACGAGTGTGTTTTCTGGACCCAAGGACACTCTCCTACGTTACTGCAGAGCAATGATCAAAAGCAGGAAATTCGCCTGGCGTGTTGGCGCATATGCCTGCAAACAGCGACCGGGAGGCCGAGGCAGCAGGACCTCAAGTTGGAGGCCAGCCTGGGCAAGTTAGGGAGCTCCTGCCTCAATATAAGAATAAAAAGGTCTGGGGATGTAGTTCAGTGGTTGAGCAACTCCGGGTTGAGTTCCCGGCACCACACCCTCACCCTGCCCTCCAAAAAAAGGAAAAGCAGGAGATTCACCATGGAGAAAACACAATCACCTAAGCCATAGCTCACACTCAGGTTTTGCCGTTTGGCCCCAACGGTGTCCTGCCCTAGCTATGCCTTTTCCCCAGGCATCTTGCGGTCATATCGCAATGTGCAAGGCCAGTTACTAAAATGTCCCTTGCCTGAGGTTCGAATTTGCGATCCTATATCCGGGGCGGAACGGAGCCGCGACCTGGGCTGCAGCGGCTCCCTGGAGGACCCGGTCAGCGAGAGCCGGAGGCTAGAGCGGCCGTTGCGCTTCCGGTCGGGGCGGTGCGCGTTCCGGTGGGCGGCACCTGGGCGCGCCGGTGCCTTCGCCGTTCCCGGGCAGTTCAGGGCGGGCTGAGGCCGCCCCCCGCACTGTCCCCGCGAGCGGGAGGAAGCCGAGGCCCCGCGGCCCCCGCCGTCGAGGCAGGGGCGTGCTCGGCGAAGACCGATCCTCACCCGAGCGCCGGCGCCTCGGGCGCTGCCGTCCCAGCCGGGGAATGCCCGGCGGCTCGCGGCTGAGGTCCCCGCGGCCGGGGAGGCCGAGGCGCGTCTGCCTGTAAACAGCGACCCGGGAGGCCGGGCGGCACGTTCGAGGCCAGCCTGGCGACTCAGTGAGACCTGCTCGGCGCGAGCGTGTGCCAGGCCCGAGCGGGACCTGCTGCATCCCGGGGCCGCCCAGTAGGGCGCGGGCAGCCGCGGGTCTCGCACGACACGGAGCACACCTGTGTGCGGGACCCGGGCGCCGTGCTTGGGTAAAAGTTCTACCGCTGAGCTACCCCCGGCCCGCCGCTAGACCTTCCTACCAGCGCCAGCACCTTGGGTGTTGGAAATCCTGTCCGCAGGACACCGCAGAGATGTCCAGCAGCTTCACTCTTGATTGTCAATGGTCACAGCGCCAGGATGTCCTCCAGTCGCCCAATGGATGAATCCTGGGCCATCCAGACCATGGACCGTTATCAGTGAAAAAGAAATGCGCTGCTGAACAGGAAAGGATGTGGGAAAACATAGGTGCACAGTGTAAGGCAAAGACGTGGACTCCAACTCGGACATAATGGAGAGGACATAACGGGGGCATAACAGAGAGGGCATAACAGAGGGCATAACAGAGGGGGCATAACAGAGGGCATAACAGAGAGGGCATAACAGGGCATAACAGAGGGGGCATAACAGAGAGTATAACAGAGGGCATAACAGAGAGGGCATAACAGAGGGCATAACAGAGGGGGCATAACAGAGGGGGCATAACAGAGAGGGCATAACAGAGGGCATAACAGAGAGGGTAGAAAGACCGGTGGTGGCCAGCGAGGGTCAGGGAGGGTGAGAGGCCGAGCCCTAACTGTTCCATGTGACACTGTGCAGGTGGTGGCCCCCCTAGACCATGACATGGAGAGCAGCCTAGAACTTCAGTTGCAGTTGGTGATGGGTCCTCGCTGCCCACTAGTGTAACAAGTGAACTGCCCCCAGGCAAGACGCCCCTAGTGCTGGGAACTGGGCTTCCTGATCCGTTTCCCAGTAAACCTAGACTTCTGAAAACATACAGTGTACTACAAGTAGTGAAGTATTTAAGGTAAAAACATTGAATTATTAAGAAACAAATGCAAATTCTCTAATTTTGAGGAGGGGAAAGCATGTTTTAGCAGAAAACCTAAAGGCATAAGAGATTGTTTATTTATTTACTTTTTTGGTGGTCCTGGGGATTGAACCCAGGACGTTGTGCATATGAAGCAAACACTCTACCAACTGAGTTATATCCCCAGCCCATAAGAGATTTTTTTTCTGTGAAGACAGAAAAGTTAATGTGAAAATTTTTATACTATAAATTAGAAAACATGACCAATCTTGGAGAAAAAAAAAATAGGGCTGGGGATGTGGCTCAAGCGGTAGCGCGCTCGCCTGGCATGCGTGCGGCCCGGGTTCGATCCTCAGCACCACATACAAACAAAGATGTTGTGTCCGCCGATAATTAAAAAAAAATATTAAAAAATTCTCACTCTCTCTTTAAAAAAAAAATATATATATATATATATATATATATATATATATATATAAATTACCAGGGATTTAACCCAGGGGTGCTTATCACTAAGTCACATCCACAGCCCTTTTTATTTTATTATTTAATTTTATTTTTTTTAAAGAGAGAGAGGGGGAATTTTTTAATATTTATTTTTTAGTTTTCAGTGGCCACAACATCTTCATTTTATTTCTTTTTTTGTGGTGCTGAGGATTGAACCCAGCGCCCCGCGCATGCCAGGCAAGCGCGCTACCACTTGAGCCACATCTCCAGCACAACCTTTTTATTTTTTATTTTAACATAGGGTCTTGCTAAGTTCCTTAGGGCCTTGCTAAGTTGCTGAAGCTGGCTTTGAACTTGCTATCCTCCTGCCTCAGCCTCCTGAGCCACTGGGATTCCAGGTGTGCCCACTGTACCTGGTGGCAAAAATATTTACAACAATAAAATAGACAAAGCATGACTTTCCTGTACTGGCGCTGGGGTTCAGTGGTAGAGCATTTGCCTAGCATGTGTGAGGCACTGGGTTCAATCCTCAGCACTGCATATAAGTAATACATAAAATAAAGGTTCATCAACAACTAAAAAAGATATTATAAAAAAAAATTTTAAAAGGGTACCTTTCGGGGCTGGGGCTTAGCAGTAGTGCACTTGCCTGGCATGTGTGAGGTCCTGGGTTTGATTCTCAGCACCACAAATAAATAAATAAAATAAAGGTCCATCAACAACTAAAAGCTAAAAAAAAAAAAAAATGTTTTTAAAGGATAACTCCTTATAATGGGAGGAAAAAAAGACCAAACAACTTGCCAGAAAAGGCAGGTAGACCCGTGAGTGCAGAAGACATAGGAATGTGGCCGCACAGCCAAGAAGTCCAGTGCTGCTCAGGAAGGAGGAGGGCAGGGCAGGGCAGAGCAGGCCTGCCCTTGACTCTGCTGAGCCTGACCTGAGGTGGTGTCCACATCTGCAGGCCGACAGCTTCTCCTGAGCCTGCTGCCACCGGAACCTGATGCAGCAGTTCCCGGGGCCTCTGACGCCAGTGTCTGGTGGAGCTGCTGTGTTCAAGCCTGACCTGTTGCCTCCGAGTGCTTGTGTCTGCAGGGGGCTGTTGCAGATGTGTTAGAGCAGGCCAGTCCAGCGGGATGGGTGTCCTTTGCCTCTCCGACCTGGTGGGCAGCTGAACTTAAGGTTGCTCATGTGAATTTCCTGGGACACCAAATAAAACACAGACACACACTTTTCCTTTAAATCAAGCTTCAGGACGGCTCCTCCACTCTCGGCCTCAAGCTCCCCAAATGGGAGAGCGAGGAAAGTCGCGAGAGGCTGGCAAGAGAGAGAGGGCACGTTCAGAAGTGAGCTTTTATTGGGGGGACCCTCATTCTTAGAAAGTCCCATCCAACAAAGGTCAGGAGGGGCAGGGTCACAAGGACAGGTGAGTGTAATTCGACCCAAGGGGCTGCAGGACGGCACACCTACACCTGAAGGCACATCCTCTACCTCCAAGATGGGGGCACGTCCAGGTCATGGACAGAGCCATGTCCTCCCACAGGGAGGAGAATGCCAGTCTTTCAGCGAGACAGCCTCCCGCAGTCCTTGTTACAGAACTCTGGTTCCTGGGTCCAGAGTTGAAGAAACCAACACTGCACCAGAGCGAATCTCAACACTTCAGACCCCATGGAGGGTGGGAGGTCCCTCTCAAGCCAGAAGGAGACAGCACGTGGAGGGCCAGGATCCCAGACTGGCCCAAGCAAAGAAGAAAGGGGACTGGCTCATGTGGCACCTGAGGGTGGGCAGGAGTGCTGTCTCTTGATGCCATTGCATGTGGAGGTGGGCCGGTGCAGCCTGTGCTGTCCATCAGAGCCTGGCGTGTCTCTGCCATCTGGGCATGTGCTCTACTGTGGTGCAAGGCAGCTGTGCCTCTCGCCCCGCCTGTTCCTCACCCTGGCATCGCCCGTATTATCTGGCTGGGCCTCTCGTGGCGTTATTTTCAGAACAATACAGGCCCTGCCTGTCTGGTGGTTGGCGCTCCCACTGACCATGAGTCTGGGAAGGCTGAGCTCGTCGCCCCGTCCCCTGGCATGCTGCCCCACTCCCACAGCCTCAGAGATCAGTGCACTGTTCTCTCCTGGTGTTCCATGGGGTTGTCAACCCTGTGCCCCTGAGAGCTGTCCTGAGAGGTGTTCTTCCCTCCATCCCGAGGGAGCTGTGTGGGGACGGAGAGTTAGGGTTAGGGTACACCTGCAGATGAGGAGCTCAGGGTGCCAGAGGGACACGCCGTGCTGCTGACCTCCTGACTTCAGGCCTCAGC